ACGAATGGACATTTAATTGTATGAATAGAGTAAATTAAGAATAACCAAATTGTTAGCAATAATGTCGATGTACAGAATAAAATAAAGAGGCAATTGATCCGATGCTTTATTGATACTTTATTTACTCTTTTTTTTTAACTTTGTAGCTCAATAAGTTATGAGTGGGCTCTTTTTCAGTAGAATTGTCTAGATCTGCTTGTAATAGGATTTCTTGGTAGGCTGTGAACATAAGTCATAGACGAGGTTAACAGTGAAAAGTAACGTCAGTATCACTGATTTGTTACATCCTGCTAATGTGCCGTAAGCTAACAGAACGTTCTACCCCACAGACGTGGGTATATTCAGGTTATCGCCCCACCGTCATGAATGCTGCTCAAATACACTAGCACTCTCCTTTTGTGATTTAAGGCTCTCTTACGTTTAACGGTTGATTGTAAATAGTGTTTTCTAGTCTACTCTCTATTTTTTGCTCACCTTATCGGAATTCACTTTCTATACTAGCCTTACGTTACAAACAATCCAGAAAACTTTGCCTTCTGTATGAAAGACAAAATATCTACGTAGCATGTTGTAGAATCTATTTTGAAGGTTTCGTTTTTGGAAAATCCCTCCATGTATATATATTTGTGTTATGATATGACTGATTCTTTCTGTTGACATTTTGGTACTCTATTTGATTCCATTTTAAAATTTTATCATTGTATATTGTTATTATTTCTATATCGTGTACTTATAATGAAGTTTTTGTGTTTCCTTCTGAACTGTACATATGTTGTTTAAATTCGATATTTAAAATGGCTGCAGCCATTTTTGGATTTGATACCCTAACGGACTGGAAGCATTTATCCTTCCAGAAACGGAACCCATTGTGGTAACTGGAAACTCGAAGATGTAATATTGTTTCGGTAATTGTCTGTATTTCCATATTTAATAAAATATGCACAACTGCACAACTCTTCCTTCCTTTTGCTGTACTCCTTTATCTGTGTGTTATATCCTTATATTCCCATAATTTAATTTAATTTAAGTGGTCAGTATGAATTTTATCTTGACTTACTACTGTATTGAGTACTTCAACATGACAGGTTAAGTAGTGCTTAGCTTATATATATACACTTGCCACACAGCTGCCTTTTTCTCTCTCTCTTCTCCTTTTCAGAACCTTATTCACGGTGGGAAATCCTTGGCTACTCCAGGTAACATGCACTCTATGTACATGACTGTCTGGATTACAGCCCGTATCAAGCGCGTTCCATATGACCTTTCCCAACAAATTCACTAGTGATCTAGACAAATCGCCAAAAGAACCTATTGTGCACCTTCCTTCCTTATTTGTACTCTACTATTAAAAATGTGGCTCTATAATACTGTTTCTGTCAGTGAAATGGTGTAAATATGCAATCAGAAACTGACTCTTATACTTAATTTAACTGCTATAACTTTAGAGTAATTGTGAAATCATTTGTGACAATTTGATCTAGCCTGTAAACTGGCGTGACTCTTGCAACGTAGTTATTTGAGAGTGAATATATTGTTATTATTATTATTATTAAAATAGAACCGTTTTCTCCCAGAATAATCGTTTTTTTGGTTCCTGACTGGGTGAACGCGTATGAACGTGCACCTGTTCGAGCCGGAGTGAACTGCTAGAGTAGAAAATTCAATTATACATGTCACACTAATTTTATGTAAACTAATGGTAAAAATGGTAAGACATTTGTCAGTTAATAGGTAGTTTGAAGATAGGAAGGACAGTGAGCTGGAAAAGAAGAAATAAAAAAAAGAGTTGGAATAATGTTAAAAATTAATGAGTAAAGCGATAAATTGCTAAGCAGGCAAGGTGTTTGGATGCTAATGAATTGCGGATATAAAAATTTATTAAACTGTTAATACTCAAACAAGAAGGAACTCACAATGTTATAAACCTCCTCAGAGTCTAAAAACAGCATTATTAGTTTCTTGAACTTAGTGATTGTGTCAAAGATACGGATAGTAATTGGCAGCCTGTTACACAATAGACTGTATCGTATTACAAAGAAAGTACAAAGCAATCATTTTTTTGTGTTTTGCTAATGATATATGCTTAGTTTCTAAGTATGTTAGCAGTGTCGTGGTTCATAATTGGGCGGTATTTTACGAACGAGAGACCATTTATCAGTTCATAGAGAAGTATCAAGTTATTTTTCAACCAACGACTCCATAGAGGTTCAAAGAAAAGATGTTTAAATCTTTCTATGTAGTCGAGGTTATGACTCCATCAATGCAGTCGCCGGGTTAAGCTTCTTTGAACGGTTTCTACTTGTATCTTGTCCATGATATTCATGTTTGAAAAGATAAGTGAGCAATATTCGAGTGAGGGCCTTATAAACATTTTGAAGAGTGTGAGCTTAGCCACGCTTGTCAAGAAGTCCCTATTTGAAAACCAAATTAGTCGTCTGGATTTAGAGATAATGGTTGAGGCATGTTCTTCGAATTTTAGGCTTATAGAGTAACGGATAACCAGATCATGCTCTGACATAAGTGTCTGAACCCTACATTTTTGTAAGTAGAGTGGTATATCATGGTGATGTTTACGAAAATGCATGATGCCACAGTTGTTGTGGTTAAACGGCAGCTGCCATGTTTCGCTCCACGTAGTTAAGTTATCAAGATCACTCTGAATCCTGTCTATATTTTCGTCCAGATCTTCAGGCATATAGCTGTATACTATTTTCAGATCATCAGCATATAAGTGTGCTCTTCCGAATCTTATAATATTACATATATCGTTTATGTACATAAGAAACAAGAGTTGACCTAATACACTTCCCTGGATAACTCCACTTGATACTGACCTTGGTGATGAAATACAAACGTTGTATTGAAGCAAAACATGAATGTAGTGGGTTGCTGATTCCGAATGACTTTAGTTTAAGGAGAAGCCTTCTGTGTGGGACATTATCAAAAGCATTTGTAAAGTCGAAGAAAAGGACTGATACTACAAGCCCATTGTCTTGTTCTTGCGTGATAGCATTGAAATAATCTAGTAGGCATGTGGCCCCAAGAACCAATTCTGTGAGGTCGATATCAGATTGCTACTAGGTAGATGCTGTATTAACTCTGCCTTCACTACTCTCTCCATCACTCTAGACACTACCCACGTTATGTCTATGGGTCGGTAATTTTCAACATTAGCTGTAGGCGCAGATTTATTGTGGGAATGATATGCGTAGTCTTACAGCTATTAGGGTAACACTCTGTGGAGAGTGAAATAGTAGATAGTTTAAGAAGGATAGCACACGGGTCAATGCTACCATTTTTCAGCATGCTGGCTGAGATACCATCTGGTCCTTCAATGTAAGAGTGCTTCAGTGTTCAGGTCGCCTTAGAAGTGTTCTGTACACTAAAGTCAACACTGGCGATTTCACAGGAAGGAATTTGGGTCAGGTGAGATTGATTTGTTGGGTTTTCGTTTGTTAATGTAGCACAAAAGTGTTCGCTAAACAGCTCTGTGATACTTTTAGGGTCTTCATACACTTGGTTGTCTTTACGAAATATGCCGCCTACTTTTACTTTAGAGCATGTAAGTTTATTTCGAAGGACTTTTATAAGTGCCGAGGTTTCATAGTTCAGCTGAACAGTGCGCTTTTCCTGTGCAACTGCCTTTTTATTAGGTATTATCTCTGCCAAGGGTCAGTGAAATTATTTCCGGATGAATTCTGGTCGAGAATTTGGTCATTTAATATAGAAGATAAATTATCGGGTTGCCCGCTGACATAGAATTTAACATAATAACAAATTGCACAGTCGATGGATGCAGTTTGATGACTGATGAATCACACACATTCGAAGACACCTCATAGTTGAAATAATGAATCTCCCTCTGCTAAAAATATTGTGCTTAGGAAGTGTTTATTAATATTCTACTCTGTATATAGGCCGCTTAAAATAGTCCAAGTTGTTGTAGATGTTACGGAATCCCTTTTCACGTACTAGGATTATGTATTTAGTAGCAGCGAATCACCAACGCCAGTAGGTAGGAACCCAGGTATATATGACGAGAAAAATATGAACACTTATAAAACTGGGAATAAAACCTGTGCTGAATCTTAAGAATATATCAAGTTTATTATTTTAGGACACCATGATAGTCCCCCACGTCAGTTATTAGCGAATGCTAGAGTTTTATTTCACATAAAGACTGAGTGTGCCCATAGTTCATTCCGCTATCTTTAGCTTCTAAGTTCTAAGAACTTCACTTTAGGTTTATACTTGTATTTTTTTGAATGATAGTTTTGAGAGATGTTCACCTTTGAGACCTTCATACCTTAGTGGGTAAAGATAAAGTGATTTCAGGCACTCTTCAATAACTTTGAATTCGAATCCTCGAACCGGTTTGCTGCCTCACCTTTAGATATGGCCCAGCGTATTCTCGTTTATTAGCTGTGACGGGGGAAAAATATATTTCTGTGCCAATTATTTGTATTGTACATTTCAGACATAACAAAATAGTTAAAAAGGTGTAAAATTCTAACAAACAGGCCAAGAGTGCATTTTAGCTGTATCGTTGAAAGACTTATTAAAAAGGCATCTTTATTATGGTTAGTAAGGGACTTTGGATCATAGTATATCTGGGGTATTTCGTAACTTCGCACCAAAGTACTTTGCATTTTGATAAGTTAAAATAAACCTAATGTCATTCATCATACTCCAAGGCTAAATAACGTTATTCTAAAGTGCCTTATAATTTTTTTCTCTCCCAACATTGTTAACAAAAAATGTAATTTCAGACGATATTTGTTGAAGTCATCTATGAAAATTGACTATAGATTTGATGTAAGCGATCCATTATTTCCTGGTGAAGGTCGCAGATGAATAAACTTTCTTTCTTAATTACTAAAAGCCATCTGAAACGTTTTGTCGTTTAATTGAACTTTATACCTACGTACACTTGTTTGACTGTATCACTGAACTGTGGAAGTCTTCAGTCAGCTGTTGCTCTTTTTTATTTGAGTAATAAGATGCCTTTCCTTAGTCCAGACTGGAGATGTCCAGGAGATCAATGGCTAAAGACCAACGAAAGTGGCAGCATGTGGGAGAATGCCAAAATTTATCGACTCAGGATGTTTGAAACTATCAATGAAAACGTCATAAAAAGGTTCAGTCTACTTTCGGTAATTCTTAACGTCAGATTGTGTCGGCAAACACTTGACGATGAAATGAAATCAACACCTTATGTCATAGATTACCTCAAAGCCGTTTTTTACCAACCATATATACACCTTCAAGTAGGGGCTACTCGCGAGGTTTGTTTAGATAAACATTGAGTAAGTGGCTGTAGATTTCGACGACAACAACAATTAGTGAAGCTCTACTAAAGCTCGATACTAAAGCTGCTCTAAGAGACATAAGAAGATTTGATTATATATGCAAAGTATTTTCCTCATTGTTTCATTGTTTTAGATAATGGAACTTCTTATTTCTGAACACTTCCACAGGTTAGCTGGAAGGTTACAGCTCTTTCTTATAGAACTTCTGAAAGAGGTGCTGAAACAAGGTATGTGTATTGTCTCATTCTTATATATTTTAGTTCAGACTAGTTGCAACCAGACTGAGCGATTTCGAAAACTGTTGGATGCACTGAAAGAAAACCTAGATAAAAATGAATATGATCATATTGGGAGTGCTTTACTTTGGCAAAATCATAAAAAGGCCCTGGATGAAATGTATAATCACATAGACGAGTTTGATATTGAAAAAGTATGTTTCCATATGTTTTTACGAGTTTTAAGCATTTGAATGATTAAATATGCCATTCCACATTTTCCGTTTCGTATCAAATCGCTTAAAATATTAAGCTTCAATAGAAAACTTTAAAAACGATTCATCTCAATTAAACGTTTCAAGTGGATATAATATCATTTCAAGAGGTGTGCATTTATATTGCATATTGCAATATACTGTAAATATTAATGTTCTTAAGGCCGAATGCCTCATAGATTTAGAATGGACGCTTGCTTTGTTTTCTGTACAATACTACTAACCTTTTGGCTTCGCTATATTCTGTAATCTTTTATTAATATTTTTACGATAAAACCTGCTCAAAAAGTACTCAAACCTTATGACTTATTATTCATGTTTCCTGTCGAACTCTAAGACTCAGAGTTCATCGCTCTTGCATGAATGCCCTTGTTTTAAGTAGGGATCTACTTCACGCTTACCTTTATCACAGACGCTTTAAGCTCAGAATTTTCCACTTGCATATCATTTTACTTTAACTTAAACTGTAGTGGAGTTTAATGTAAGGAAATATTTCTTTCTCAAAAGACTAGTTGGAATAAGCATTTTTGAAAACTAAATTACGGTCTGTCATAACTCAACTATCGTTGTGTTAGTTTGTCAGTTGTCTTTTAGGAATTATCACTGGAAATAAAGAGCAATCAGTTATGTAAATAGTTTATAAAACCCATCTACCCGATCAAAAACTGTTGTTTAAATCAGCTGGTCAAATTTTATTGTCTTTTACAACTTATTTGAACCCAGAGTAAAGTTAATTTTGTTTGGAATCCAACAGTTCACACTTTTTGAACATGGTGTGTTCTCTGAGCTGGAAGACGTGACATCTACAAAACTTTGAGCTATGGATGTCTTCCATCATTCTGCCACCTATGTTAACTGAAACTCAACAAAAATTGTATTGTGAGATATCAGTAAGTGAAAATCTTAAATTCATGTTGTTCAATATTGAAGCACTAACTTGTATTCTATTCTTACCGTCCAGTAGTTCTATCTTCTTACCATCAGAAAGGTAGGATCGAAATATCGCCATCTATTTTGAGTCTTGCAAATAACTACAGTTTTCAGGGTTAAAAATAGTAAAACTTTGCCAATAAAAGCATCTTGACTTCGATATAAATGAAGCATTACTTTTTTCAAGTAAATATAAAGTGATAAACGATGAGTATTCTGTTGCTGCGGTTCATCTTGCTGCTTGAATTTGAGTGATACTCACTTTATTCGATTTGTCATTTTAACCATTTGAACTATGTTTACTGGTAATTACAACGGGTAAGTATGTAAATTCTAAAGTTTGCTATCTGTAAGAGACTTCCTTAAGTGTCATCCGGTCAACTTTTAATGGTTTTGGGTTTTTATGAGAAGATTCGTTATTTTGTAGCGATTAAGTTTTCTATCTTATTTATTTGATAGATTCATCCGTCTTATTGTGTTTATTCCAAATTTTACCTTTTCATTGAAGAAACTCCAGTCGTTTACAACCTGCCCGCAATACAAACTCAGATCTTTGAGTGCACGTAGAAACTCTTCAGAAGAAAGAATGAAGCTCGAAAGGCTTCCATCTGAATGTTTGACTCATGTCATGACTTATATAAACTCTCCTCAGGATCTTGAAACGGCGTCTTTGGCTTCAAATGCACTAGCTAGTGTAGTTGAAGATAAATACTTTTGGAGGACTTTGACACTAACGTATTTCGATATAAGTCAGATACCAACCGTTAATTATGGTCTTCCTGGCTGGCATACTCGATCTGCAGCGTCAATTGATGACTGTGATTGGAAACGAGCTTATGTCAGACTCCTTAAAATATACGGAGACAACCATATTTATCCAGCCAAGCTAGCTGTTTGTGAGGTTTGCTTCTGCTTGTTTTGGCCGGTAAGTCACGTACCAAATTTCTTATATGTGAGCTGTAATTTCACTTAGTTTGAATAATTTTTTAGACCATGTCTTCTCAACGTTTGTCGCTGTTCTAAGTGGCTCACTTGTGTCTAACTATTGATTTATTCTTAAATAAGCTCATATATCCTTGTAAAAATAGGCAACGAAAATGGTCCATATAAATGAAAAAAGTAACAACTATCATTTTACATTTCATGGAACGGGAATTCTGTTCTTTTGCTTAAAACGTTCATGGTACATGGATCTATTGGTCACCATTTTGTGGTTATTTTAACGCCTAATAACCTTTAGTCAAATAAAATAAATCACTTTCAGTCCGTTTACTAGTTAGTAAACGTATAAATTATGTTGAGAGTTTTCAGACCGTAAAAATACACGTACAAGATGAATTTAAGAGGTAGATAGTTACACACAATCTACAAAAAAACTTCAAAAGACCATTTGAATATTTAAACATTGCAAACTACAACGAATAAACGGGATATCACCTAATAAAGTGCTGAATAAAGTAAAATCAAACTAAAATCTCGAAAGTATAGAGAACCTTTTCTCGTTGGTGTGTGTGTGGGGGGCGAAATCGTTTGACCTCAATACTAATAATTAGCCTGAGCCTAATAACAATATTTACAAAATGTTTTTTTAGTGGCTAAACCATGTCTTATTTATTTGCAATATTCTACTAAACCAAGGTGTTAGAGGTTTGTAAAATAACGTGTGTCGATTTTATTAATCAGTCTATTTTAAAATCCTATGTTTCTTTAAAAAGTTTGTCATTAAAAACTTTCCTAAGAATGTCTACATAGGGCGGCTTCAACGTATAATTAATTTTACAATAGTTATTGCCAGAAAAAGTCCACTTTTATTGCATTGAACGTCTAACTTTCAACTAATGAACCACGTTTTAACCATGTAATTACGACAACTGAGAAACTTGCATTCATTGCAATGAACATTATTTTCAAATTCGATTCCAATACACACATTGGAAATAGTTCTCGTTATGTGTCATTATTTCATTAACAGCTAACTGCCTTTCGTAGAAAGGACTGGAAAGCATTCTATTAACTTATTGCTGTTTTTGAAACTTGTTCGATGATTTGATGATGATTTGAGGAAAGTTCCACATTTTATCTCTATAACATAAATTATTCATTGTTTGATTAATTATTTTAAACTTTGACTCTTTATAGATATTTGGACATCCTTGCCATTATCCTGATAAAGAACAACGAATTCGTCTTCTTACCCCAAATGAATTTATTGCGCTCTTCCAAATCTGACGGCATTGTTCATATCATCTTACTTTAAAACATTAGAGTGCCTTGAGTTTGTTTCATTCAATCATGAATTTTTTTTAAAAATTCTGATCTAGTTTTTTTTTTCAGATCTGTATTCATTTCATTTTCACCCAAAAAAGGTGCATTTCCCCACATTATGTGCAATTCTTATTCTTTCAAATCTCTAGCATTCATTATGGTTTCTTTATTTGTCGTTCTTATTCAAAAATGTCAGCGAAAATTTTAACTTCTATTCAGAATCTTATAAAAGTATAATACTATTTATTATTTCTCGAATTATTTTTCTGAAAAAATTTTTATGAACGTATCATTATTTTTTTTCCGGTTTTATAAGACTAAGACCTGTTGAAATTTTATTATTCATTCAAAAAACTTTATAGATTCATGAGAGCCTGAGCATGCCTATATGTATATATATACATATATATATATATTCATCAAACTGTGATCGACCAAAAATGCTATAATATGACTTCTTCGCTCCAATTTACTACTGGAGTTCATTTCGACTTATTTACTTATTGATCGATTTGTTTATTTATTCAATTTGTCTTTCTTCTCTATACGTTGTTGCAAGATTTATTTTGTGTTTTTTGTAATTTCAGGAAGTAAAAACAACTTGTGTGTACTCATACTTATCATTTCCACAAAAGCATATAAATAAATATTTATTAATCATTTCATTTCATAAAGTAATCATAAAAAAATATATATATATATATCTTCTTAAATTTGCTTTAGACTTAGTCACATGGGAAATCGATGTTATTTGTTAGCAATAACATTATTTGTGTATTATTTATCTGAACAGATTTTTTTTTTTCACATTAAAGAGAGAAGGAGTTGGTATTATTTGAATACTATTTACTGTTGAATATCTATCTCATCTGGAAGGGAACTTTAAGGTCAATAGTAATTAGCGTACATTTTTCTAGTGCTTAACATTTTAAGATGACTGACAAAATAAATGACTATATTATTAATTATCACCTAGTTATGACATTCGATATGTTGTAGCATAATTATTGCTAATATATTTTGTTTTCAAAATTAAAATTGACTTAATTCTGCTGTTCAACCTTTTCTTGAAATAAAACGGTAGATATTTCATTTGATTGGATAACTTTTGAAAGAAAGACACATCGACATTAGAATGCTGCTGCACACTAGACTATCGATTTAGGTTGTTACATGAAATTATGAAAAGAAAGAAATCTAAAGTAAACTAGATGAAGATTTAAACTAAATGAAGAATATAAGTAAATCGAAACACATGTACATTGATGAACAGACTTGTTATATTACAAAATTAAATTGTTAATATACTTAACATACCTTAAAAGAATTACTATAAATACTACCTTAATGTAATAAACTTTACATTAACTTTATGTTTTGGTAGTGAACATTGTATTGGAAAATAATACATTTCGACTATCACATTTAAAGAAAAGAAAATATAGACATTTTGAAAGGACACCAAATACGACTGGTGTTGCTCAATATTAAATGTAAACTAGACAATAAAAGTACATACTATTTATCAACATTTGACTGATAATCACGTGAAAGATCTGAATACACATGAATCCAGGTAATAAAGAATATCATGTGATTAAGGAAATAATTGTCCACATAAATAATATGGGGATAAAATAAGGCGAATTATTTAACTTATTTAGAATACAAATAAATGATTATTCGTGTAAAAATTCATGACTTACAGATTACAGAAATACAATAAGTATCCTGAAAACACTTTTGATAACGTCTAAAGTATAGTTAAAATATCCAGTTTACAAGAAGGGGTTTGAACTTCGAAAAGACTAGTATATCAGTTATAAGTAACTTAGGGCTTGACGTTAATATGTGTTGTCTCAAGTTGTTACATTGGATATAAGCTCAGTTGAAGAGAAAATTAACATGATAAGAGTCAAGAGTTGATATGCTACTATTATTAGCATAAATAAAATTAAATGAGAGATTTATTTGGGAAAGAAAGAGACAGATCGATTAAGAATAAGGAGAAATGACAATCAAAAAAGATTCAGATGCGGAGAAGGAGAAAATGAATATATCCGACCTTCTGTAACCGACTTTGCTACATAGCGCTTGTGTTCTTAATTATTGGTTACAATAATTGTACGTATCCTAATTAATTAGTTCTTATGTGTCCATAAATAGCTCAGTAAACGGGAACAAAAATTGAAAAGTTACAAACATTTAATTCCAAATGCTAACAACATGTTTTTAGGAGTGGTAATTCTGAAGTTGCATGTATTGTTTTAATAGGTAAATGGTAGGGTTTTAGATAAATGAAGCAGTTGATATTCAAGTGGTGATAAACTAGAATCAATCTCACTTCATATCTGTCTTTCATAATCCTGAATTTCATTCCTTTACACAAATAGACAAAGACAATATTTAACTTATGACAAGAAAAAATCATTAGTAAAAGTATTCACTGTTCCCATTTAATCGTAATGAATAATAGGCTTTGATCTACCCAACAATTAAGTGAAGCTAACTAGGCTATCTGGTATAAAAACCAAAGATAAAAATGAATGATCAATGCTGTCTAGAATATAAATATTTATTATTAGAGCAATTTTTTCGTTGTTATGAGCTTTTCCCGATTGTTAAGTACACCGTATCCATTCAGTCAACTGCTTTTTATGCATTGAAATTAAGGGTGAAAGTTATTTCATTATGGTCACCTGAAGAAAAAATCATTTGAATTAAAATGAATAGCTACCAATTTTAATTGTTTGTGATTAGGTTTGTTTTATGATTAAAAATCTGATGATGTGTTAAAGTAAAACAGAGATCATACATAGACAGTAGATTTTATAATTTATTTTACTCTACAGCAGTTTACATTTCATCATTCCATTCTGCTATACTCACACATCATTCTTTACGTAAATTGTGTTTCGTTTACATAATTTCTTATTTTTGTAATGTTGTAATATCAAAAGTATGTAATATTGCATTATTTCATTATTTTTCTTTATTGATTCAATCAAATCGGAGCATTGGTATTACATATCTGGTGTTGTTGATTCAAACTTAATGTATAACAGTGAAATGTATCAACAAAATACGTTTCTGTTGTTAGTAAAAGCGAATACATGAATGTTTTTGACTTATATTACTTAGTAGGTTTAATTTATCACGTGAACAGAATATGATTAGTTGAAAGAAACACAATGTCGTAAAAATAATTGCAAACAGTTATTTGAAATGACACTGGTTGAATATTTATTTCATGAATTAGTATCTTCTACTCATGAAAACAATGAGAATTATATGAAAATCAATGCAATCCAGTATATATATATATATATATATATATATATATATATATATATATATATATATATATATATATATAGCTTGTTATATTGTGCTGAAAAATTCCACTACACTGAACCACCAACTCCCTAACATTCTATATTCACTAAGTAGCGTATCAATGAATCAACGCTTACATGAATACATAATAATGTGACATGAATAATCAACAAACTATTGCACAGAACAGCATTAAGTGATTGCAAAAACGATTTCGGTCTCTAGAGTCTTATGTTTCCGAGAAACTTAGGAATAACATAAAAACGTACCGTATATGTGACTGAAATAGAATTTGTACAGATAAAAAAATCCGATTCAAATCTACTTCGATAACCAACGAAAAATTAAAGCGGAAAAATGGTCAAATGGTTAACACTGAATGACTATATAACAGTGTAAACTGTACAATTCCGCTTATACTTATATATCGATTCGCTTATAAAGAGTTACTCAACTGTCTAAACCTGCTTCCCATCATGGGCTAAATGCTACTGGTCAGTAATCTCCAACCAGCTCTATCCTGGATCCCCATTTTACGTTGCTTCCGAGTCCTATTCACGGTCTTCATATCTTCCTTCGAATCTCAGGGGCATGTGTTATTACGTCTTTCTCTTTTTCCTTCTTTCGTGGATTCTGAGTTAGGACTTCCTCTGTGATTTGGTTTAATGATTTCCGTGAAGTGTGTCTCCTGTCCAACTCCGCCAATAGAACCTTCGGAGCTACTGCCGGTCCCAAGCCCGGATAAAGGAGGACGGTTGGACATGGGATTGGCGACCCCATTCCGTCGAAATCTCACTTGCCAAAAAAACGCTAACCAGGAAAAGTAATCCAAACCATTTTAACTCTGGGAGTCGGAAGAAGAATTGTGAGGTCGTGTGATGAAAGCCGAGTTCCCTCGGAAGTCACGGGGCCGATTGCTCTTCTGACAACCAGAGCAACCATTCTTTTAGGTACATGGAACGTTCGTATATTGTGGGAGACTGGAAGACTATTTCAAGTTGCGGCAGAAATGAAAACATACAACCTCGAGGTGCTCGCCATCAGTGAAACGCATTCGACACAGGTAGGACAACTGAGACTAGCTTCAGGGGAACTGCTGTTATACTCTGGTCATGAAGAGGAAGATGCTTCACATACACAAGGAGTTGCACCGATGCTGTTCAAACATGCACAAAAGGCGCTGATAGGATGGGAATCTCATGGACCGCAGATCATTAAGGCATCTTTCAAAACAAAGAAAGAGGAAATTACAATGAACGTCATCCCATCCTATGCACCTACCAATGACTACAATGACGACGTTAAAGATCAATTCTACGAAAAGTCGCAGTCAATCGTCGACAGATGCTCACCAAAGGATTTGACGATTCTTATGGGAGACGTGAATGCCAAAGTCGGAATGGACAATACTGGATATGAAGACATCATGGGACGACATGGGCTGGGAGAAAGAAACGAAAACGGTGAGAGATTTGCAAACCTATGTGCCTTCAACAAACTGGTCATCGGTGGCACAATATTCCCGCACAAACGCATACACAAAGCTACATGGATTTCACCGGACCACACTACTCAAAACCAAATTGACCATATCTGTATCAACAAAAAGTTCAGAAGGACTATGGAGG